AGCTTTTTTTTTCTTTTTAAATCTCCATAGAAACATAATATTTGGAGGTTGACTAGAAAACCTTTGGTTACTTCAGTCTCCAGACTCATATAGTACACTTTTTGCTTTGTCTTAAACAACGTTAATAGAGAGGAATGGTTATGAAACCCGACAAAGTTCTTTGTTGTATGTTTTCGTTCGCTTTTTTGGCCTTGACCGTGCACAAAACGCAATAGTTGTTCACTCCGTGCTGAGTAACTAACCAATAGAAACGTGTTGGTTACGTAATTCATGCATAGTGTATGAACGCAAAACAAAAGATTGTGCATTGTCGTGGACCTTCCAACATAAATCTTGGCGTCTTTGTTTGCTCCTTTGATGATTGCCGGGCTTCATAACCAGTCCCCTCTATTAACTATGTCTTAACGTTTCACTGATATAAAAAAACTGTAAATGTACGAGTAAACAAAGTTATTGTTGTTATTGTTGTTGTTGTTGTTGTTGCACTCCTCCGTTACTCCTGTTTAAGTGCTTAGTAGGTTGCTCGCCATACACAATAGTGATAAGTCGTTCTATTTACATCCTAGGTTGGTTATCGCATTCGGCTGTAATACGTGGGAATGCTTTTAACAAAAGTCGCCTTTACCAGCTTCTTACGCTTGCTGTTGGATTGAACTCTCAGTGGGAGCTGTGTTACCACGCCTCCACTCAAGGCTGGAGTTCCAGTACCTTTCACAGCAGGTGCGAAGGGAAAAGCGACACGGTTACCATCATCAAAAAGGGAGAGGACGTGTTTAGAATCCCTGGGGTATAATAAATTTGCTGTTTCAGGTTATGTAGTATTAAACTTTTACAGAGTAATTATGTTTGAGAAGACCATAATTAAATTGTGGATCAATACTGAGCCTTTCTCATTTAATAAGTTCTGAATAGGTTTAAGAAGGTTTTACATTTTTTTCGTTTTCCTTTGATTCGAAAACGTTGCAACGCCTATCCCTATAATATTATCCTAAGCCCACCTCGGATTATTAACAATAAGCTGCCTCCACTGAAAGTGTTAATAYTTTTGACCTCTAATTAAGGGGTTCTAATTGTTCGTCTTTTTCCCCCATGATCAATATTTCCTTGAATGTTCTTGTTATTTAGAGTCCACTGGTGGTTATGCCTTCACCTCCAGTGCGTTCATATTTTCACTCTGCAACAAAGAGGGTCTTGGACCATTCAAGAGAATGGTGAAGAAAGCATCAGTTGCAATTTACAGGCACTCTCGACTTGGTCCAACATTTGGTGGAGGGTATGACATCAAAATTTCTAACAATGCCAACAGCAACACTAATTCATCCACTAACTTTTTAAATACGACTCCATGTACTACTCTGTTCCAAGTGGAGTACAAGACAGGAACACAATCCTGGCTGGGTCTTACAAATTCACACCTGATGAGGTGAAAGTGTTTTATCTCGGTTGATTTACCCTAACATCCCTACATTCATGTTCTCAACTCATTCATAATTTGAAATGAACAAGCTGATCGAAACGAATTATAAGTGTTTCCATGGTCCAGAGTTATTTGATACAAATCAGACTAACCAATTTATTTCTTTTAATCGCACTAAAAGTAGCTGGCCTTGATTTCTAATCTGATATTTACTTCAGTTTATTTACTAATTTTATTTATTTTTACTTTTTTTTTGTTTGCTGTTACTGTTCGTGAATGATATTCGCTGACTTTTAGAAACTCGGCCATCCCATCAAGGCAGTTTGGCAACACTCGTATCCCTTACCAAACCAAACACTATTTTAAATGTATTTAAATACTATTTTTAAAAACTGTTTTTAACCTATTTTATGAAATAGATTAAAAATAGGGCGAAAAGTGTATTTTTAACGTAGTTTTCGACTGCTTTTAATGGTGTTTAAACCTGTTTAAAACACT